TTAACTTTCCGGGGGGGGGGGCAAAATATTTTTAGTAATTTTTTAATGTAGTTTTAATTTACTGTAGCGTATTTGCATGGTGAACGAACGGACAGGACATCAGCTTAGTTAATTTCTCTTTACTTTAATAAATTTTTTGTCTATTTTTGTCTAAATTTTTTTTATCCAATCAATCCGGGGGGGGGGGCAAGTGCCCCACCTTGCCCCTAACTGCGGGCGCCCATGACTAGAAGATACCGAAAAACCTGTGAAGTTATGACATGCAAGGGGCTGATTTATCACAGAAATATTGAGATCACAGTACCGCAAATATAATTTAACCAATCTAGTTAACAGGCCCTTAAAACACAATTTAACCGACCAAGTAACTGCACCTTAAAACAGAATTTAACTGATCGAATAACGGCCCCTTAAAACATAATTAAACTGATCGAGTAACGGCCCCTTAAAATACAACTAAACTGATGGAATAACGGCCCATTAAAAAGCAGTTTAACTAATCCAATGACGGCCCCTAAAAACATAATTTAACTGATCGAGTAATGGCTCCTTAAAATACAATTAAACTGATCGAATAACAGCCCATTTAAAAGCAATTTAACTGATCCAATGACAGACCCTAAATACACAATTTAACTGATTGAGTAACGGCACCTTAAAATACAATTTAACCAATGGGATGACCTTCCCTTACCCAGGGAGCTAGCACACTGTATTCAACAGTTGAAAAATTTTTGTATTTTTAATCAAGAATACAAGACAAGAACAATTCTTGGTTTATTTTTTATTTACAAAATATTGCTGCATACTACCCTGGTACATTCTAAACCAAGCAGTCACAAAGTAGATACATTTCGAAACTACCCACCCTGGTACATTCTTAACGATGAAGTCACACAGTAGATACATATTAAAACCAGACAGACTTAAATAATTCTTTCAATTCAAAAAATTTAAATTACTTTTTAAAAAATAGTATCAGCTTTCTAATTATAAAATAAAACAACAAATTTATTATATAAATATAATCTTATAAAAAAAAGATCTTGCCATGACCTGATGATTTAGGGACAAATAACTAGATCACACTTTGATCAGCTAAATACAGCTTAAAATCCTTTCATGATAAATCATTTTATGATTAGACTTTCATAAAACATGAAGAAAAAAAAAAAAAAAAAAACAAATAAAAATTTTTTAAATTTTTTTGTTTAAATAACTAGATCAAACTTTGATCAGCTAAATACAGCTTAAAATCCTTTCATGATAAATCATTTTATGATTAGACTTTCAAAAAACATGAAGAAAAAAAAAAAAAAAAAACCCAATAAAAATCTGTCAACTTGTTTTGTTTCTTAGAGTTTTACAACATACTATTCCTGGATTTCATGTATTTGAACTCGACCTTTGCATTTGGAAGAACTTTAAAAAAAAATACTCAACATACAACTTTGAAGTAAACTAGAAAACAACTTCATAAATATTGCTGTTCTTTAAATGCCCTGGCCTAACTTCACCCCAAAATACCTGGCCTAACTTCATGACCGTAACACACTTGCCTCCCATAACCCAATCTTTCCATTAAACAAACTCCCTCCCGGCATCTGCCCACAAAACATTTTCTTTATCAATGTCATGGCTCATATCTCTACACTTGCATCCATGCTTCAAATTAACACCCTTCCTGATCCTGGCCCTAATAATAAAATCCCATCCACCCCTCCCCTTAAATCTATATAACTGATGAAGATTTGGCCTTGCCCTCTCTTATATCTTTTTTGTACGGTAATCTCTACAGCTAAACGTTGGAATGTATTGTTCACAGACGGTGCTATTTACAATAACTAAATGTAATATAAAAAAACTGGACTACCAGTAAGCATGTTGAAAGAATACGACTTCATTCAAAATTAAAAATAGTCTCCTTCACATCTATCGTGATGTTTCAAGCCAAGGATGTCTGACACACATGGTAATCTGGCCGAAAACCCCCACTCTTACTTTTAGGGGACCAATTTCACAGAAGCCTGCTCTAGAGCATTCCTATTTTGAAAACCAATTATTTGAGAAATATTGAAAATACAAAAATCTATAAAATAAATATTTTGCCCCCACACATAAATGAAATTCCCATAAATAAATCTCTAACCACAGTAAGTATTCCCCAAACTCTACCCAAACAGGGTAAAAATACATTATGTTAAAAGAAAAAGCTAAAAAAAAAACAACAAAAAATCTACATTAAGATTTCAGTTAACAACTGAAATCACTCGTCAAGTTACCTAATATAATAATGCAAATTTTTAATTTACGTTTAGATAATTTTGGTTGGAATACAGGCATCAAAAATGAAACTTTATATAACGCTGCCATAGGACTTCAGAAGCTCGATGTATTAACTGGTTCTTTCTACTGCACACATCTTCATTTTTTTGGTAATGGTAAATGTGAGGATCGGATGGCCATTTATCTTATTTTGTGTGTGTGTGAACTGTCGAGCCCACAACTGCCAATGTGCGATGAGGCAGCCGAACTTAAACTACCGACACAATATTTGTTAGCCTCTTCTATGTTGAGACTTCCATTTAAAAGTTGGTGACACAAGAGTACAAAAAATAAAACACAATGTCTCAGTTTAAAACAAGATCTCAACTATTGAAAAACAATCTTATTATTTTCAAAACCAACTTTGGTGGTCTCCCCAACTATACAACAATATGATACACTTTTGATTACATATTAAGCAAAAAATATACAACAATTAAATTGATGAGTAAAATCAGTGAAAGACATTTAGGCACGGGGGACCTTCCACAAATGATGTCATGCTATTTTGTCAGATTCTGACTGGATCCCAAACAAAATTTTGACACCTTCATAAAACAATGTCCCAAATTCATGACACCCCCCCCCCCCCACCAGCTGCGTGATGCCATTTATGGATGGTCCCGTTTACTATGGACTACATTAAATAATAAAATTGATCGGTTCATGAAATAAAGGGACACAATGCCAGATTCTTGTGTTTCAACATTTTAAAAATATCAGTGGGCCTAAAACCGGCACTTAGAAAACGCTTGCAGTTGCTTCATTTTTAAAATAAAACCTTGCAAGACCCGATATGGGAACAAACAAAAAATAATCCGCACTCAATTCAGGAATTAGATAGCAAAATCTCAAACCAAATTTTAGGTAAAAATACTGAAGTAACAAAAAGCCATACAGATCTGTGTTTCAATATTTCAACATCTCCATCAAAATCTCAGATAGCTTGACATACAAAGAAAATATTCTTTCAAAAATGTAAAAATTGAAAGAAAAATTAAAAGGGAAAAAAAACAAAACCGTCAAAACAGATGCCCCATTTTTTTTATCAGTAATTTTAAATGTATGAAAACAAATAAGAGCAAAAAAAATAAAATGAAACAATATAAATGAAAAGGGCTGCTTAAGAAATATTATTTTACTTGACTGAAGTACCGCACTGATTATAACATAATAGGTAACTTATCACTGAGCTTGTTCAAATGATGTTAGAGTGACTTAAATGATACCGGTATCACAATAATTGGCAAAGGAGTTCTACTACTACTACCACCCAAATATTGCACTTGTTCCTTAGAGAGATGACTTGGTTGCTGAGGCAACCTTTGACCCTGACTTTCTCCCTAGTGCAGTTGAGATGAAGTGACCAGCCTAAATTAAATTGTGAATATCAAACCCCGGTGGGGGAAAAAAGAAAAGAGGGGGGGGGGGGGAAGAGAGTCAGGATAGTTCACAAGGTGACATTTTTAAAATTTTATAAATGAACTATTGGAAATATACTCAAATATTTGTCTGGCAAGCCCATTCATCATGTCCTCACAGTTTTTATAGCAAGCCCATTCATCATGTCCTCACAGTTTTTATAGCAAGCCCATTCATCATGACCTCACAGCTTTTATAGCAAGCCCATTGATCATGTCCTCACAGTTTTTATAGCAAGCCCATTCATCATGTCCTCACAGTTTTTATAGCAAGCCCATTCATCATGTCCTCACAGTTTTTATAGCAAGCCCATTGATCATGTCCTCAGTTTTTATAGCAAGCCCATTCATCATGTCCTCACAGTTTTTATAGCAAGCCCATTCATTATGTACACCACTTTCTGTTTTCATAATTTTTATAGCAAGCCAATTTATCATGTACATGTTCTAAAATTTTTTAAAGCAAGCCCATTCATTAGGTTTTCACATATTTTATAGCAAGCCCATTGAATATGTACTCACAGTTTTTATGGCAAGACCATTCATCATGTACACCACATCCTCTGTTGATACATTGCCGCTGGCACCTTTAGCATATGGGCACCCACCCAGTCCAGCAGCAGAGCTGTCAAACGTTTTAACTCCCATCTGAAAGTAATTATAAATTCACTGAGAATGACTGGGCAATTAAATACAACGCAGCAGTAAGACATAAGCTTTCAAACATGAAATACTATTTAAATTTCTGGTAATGTCTTTGTCAGAGCTGGTGATATAGAGTGATATATTGGGGGAGGCAGGGAGTTTGGACAGGAGGGGGTGTTGGTGCGATAGTTCAATTCTATAAGACTTAAAAAACATTATGAACATTTTGGGTGAACATTTTGTTTGTAGATCAGAAAAAAGCAAGCTAACAATGTTGTAATAAAATGTATGTATAAAAAGGGAAAATAGGGTGCACAGAAAAATCACACAGAATACAAAAATAAAAAATGGAAAATGGGTGGACAGTACCTGTAAATTAAAAAAATTCAAATTCAGTCTTTTTAAATATCTAGTCAAAGGTCTAGTCCAGTTAAGCGTCTTATCTTCAAAATTAAGTTTCAATGAAAATATATCTTATTTTGGTACCTGAATGCTAGCAGAAAGGCCCGAAAAGCTGTCATGACTTGTGCCGGCCATAACACCTTTTCAATAAGTGCAATGAACCATGTAATTAGATTGTATTCAACACTGTCCCCACAATGATTCAACATGTTTTTTTTTATGACTATAAATCCACTAACCTGTAGGGCAGCAAATATATTGGCCAGAGCTTGTCCATAAGTATCATGGCAATGTACAGCTATCTGATCCAGGGGTACCACCTTGGACACGACAGAGATGAGATTCCTCATGCCTCCAGGTGTGCCCACACCAATGGTGTCACCAAGTGATATTTCATAACAACCTATATCTAAAAGACTTTTGGCTACCTGCAAGAGATTGAAAAAAATAATTTACAAAAATTAATGTATCTGGAATTTCAAACAGCCAAATATCAAATACAATGTTTCCAAAATACATTTCCATCACAGTAGATATTTTCAAATGAAGTTTACTTGATATTTTAAAGGGAAAAAAAGTGAACATGTTGGAAGGTTAAATTTATGTATGAAATCATTTAGCTAAAAAATATTGTACTTAATTTGTGAAGAAAATCTGTAATAATATCATTAGAAGCCCGGAGTGATGATGGTGAATCACCGCTTACACATTAAACAGTTTAAATTTTTGCTTACCTCTGCAACCTTTTCTGGTTTCACATCTCCTTCATACGGACATCCCAGCACACATGAAACATATCTGAAATAAACAAACACATAGTTCAACTGAAAGTACATTTTTTATGTCCAATGCTGACAGTGACAGTGGTGACCAATCATGATGAACGATGTCAAGTTAACCAATCATGATGAACCTACACAAAGTTAAACAATCACGATGAACCATGACAAATTAACCAATCAAGATGAACCATGACAAGTTAACCAATCAAAATGAACCATGACAAGTTAACCGATCATGATGAAACATGACAAGTTAACCAATCATGGTGAACCTACACAAAGTTAACCAATCATGATGAACCAAGACGAGTTAACCAATCATGATGAACCATGACTAGTTAACCAATCATGATGAACCATGATAAGTTAACCAATCAAAATGAACCATGACAAGTTAACCAATCATGATGAACCATGACAAGTTAACCGATCATGATGAACCATGACAAGTTAACCAATCAAGATGAACCATTGCAGTTAAATAATCAAGATGAACCATGACAAGTTAACCAATCATGATGAACCAAGGTAAGTTAGCCAATCATGATGAACCATGGCAAGTTAACTTATCATGACCAATCAAGATGAACCATGACAAGTTAACCAATCATGATGAACCTACACAAAGTTAACCAATCATGATGAACCATGACAAGTTAACCAATCATGATGAACCATGACAAGTTAACCAATCATCATGAACCATGACACGTTAACCAATCAAGATGAACCATGGCAAGTTAACCAATCATGACGAACCATGGCAAGTTAACCAATCAAAATGAACCCTCGTAAGGTAAGTGATTTAAAAGAAAACAAACACCATCAAAACGAGTTTCCTCTCTTACCCCCTTACTGGGATGTGAGCTTGTTTGGCTGCTTGTGTCACCTCCTTAAACCTCTCCACTGAATCCTTGATGGAGCAATTAATGTTTTTCCTGAAAGTTTGCATCAAACAGGAATTGTTTTATTATGGTAAAAAAAAAACAACACAAATCGGTAGTAAAGAAATCAGCGGGAAAACAACAATAATTTTAAAAAAATGCAGATTTAAAAAAAAAAGTCATTAATATTTAATGGCAGCCAAAGAAGAGACATACCCTAATAAAACATGGGACATGACAAGGTGACTAAATCTGGCTATGCAGACCGTGTGACACAACAAGCCAGTAACTCACTTGCTGAATGACTCTGATGCAGCACCAAAGATGGCCACCTCTTGAGCCCCAGCCGCCAGCTGCATGGAACATTGAAACTAATCATTACTCATCACTACCAATTAGGCCTGCTTACCCCCACCCCCCCCCCCCCCCCCCGCATTCCCAAAATAGAACAATTCTGTCTCATAACAGTATGCTATGGTATGCTCATTAATCAATATTGTAAGAGTAACCAGGTCTGCAGTACACACCTGGAAATACTAATTCCTAACTCTACAAGCATTGAACAATCCATTTCTCAGAATTTTCACTTTTGCTTTCTAAATTAACCTGGATTATAAATGGGAGAAAGTGGTCCTAAAAATTGTAAATGACACCCTTACCCCTGAGACATGTAAAGAATACATGCAGAAGTAATTAGCGTAAAACATAAGAAGAAGAGAAAGTGAAAAGTCTAGAGGAGTGTAAGGGACAAGTGTGCAACATAGAAGAGCAAAGGGTGAGTTTAGTACTGAGAAGTGTATAGGACAGGTGAGCAACTTAGTAAAGGGTGAGTCAAGAGTTGAGAAGTGTATGGGACAGGTGTGAAACATAGAAGAGCAAAGGGTGAGACTAGAGTTGAGAAGTTAATGGGACAAGTGTGCAACATAAAAAAGTAAGGGGTCACTGTAAAACTGAGAAGTGCAAAAAACTTTATGTAAACGTAAAACTTTTGATGAAAAATTTAAACAAAAATTATGTGGCTATGATGTGTCTGTAAAAACTTACAGCAGACTGAAAACCTTTCAAGTTCGGTGTTAGCACTGAGAAAACTGTGTCTGGACGACGGATAATTCTCTTCATCACTTCATTGTGGTCTGCCATCTATTAAAATTTAACTTAAATTATATGCCCATTTAAGAAAAGCAAATTAAAATTGATTTTGAAATGGGCCATTAATTTTGTATAGGTATGCAATTTTACAAAAAGTCTCATTTTATTTTAATGGGCAGCTACTGTATTTAAAATTATCTATTTCCTAAAGACATGAGGAATTCTTGAAGTAAATCAAGCTCTAAATAGTCCGAGAGGCGATAAAATAATGAAGTTTTCACAAATTTTACCAGATTAACCATAAAATAATTTATTTTTCAGCAAACCATAAAATAATTAAGCTCTCACCAGTCACAGGAAAAATAAAAAATCAAGTACTAGTATTCACTAGTAATAGTAGTATGCGGAACCATAATATAATTAGTTTTCACCAACCTGAGGCACCCATTTGGGTGACACAAAGCTGGTAGCTTCAATGGTCTTGAGCCCTGCATCAGCCAGTCTATTTATAAACTCAACCTTGACATCAGTGGGCACTATTCCCTGAAAATTGCAAGCAGTATTGTGCAGATGTAAGGCAGCAATTTTAAAGCCTCTCCTTTTCTATTTTAAAACTATATTGGCAATTAATTTTTTTTTTTTAATAATGTCTTAAATAATTTTGTTGTAAAAATACAAGAAAAAAAAAAGTTTCAAACCATCATTTAAGAAATTATGTTTCTGATTTTTAAAAAATTTTTATTAAAAAAATAAATAAAGGCCAACTGATATGTAATAGTGAACTGCTGCAATTTATTTTAAAATAAACTTAAAAGTTTTAAAGTTTATCCTGTTTAGAAATCGTCAATATATCTATATACACATAGGCCAACAATGAATTAGGCTTAAATTTATAGGTTTTTTAACGTTATTGAATCTCCGAAGTGAAGTCTAAGATGGTTCAAAATTTAAAAGATGTCACTGCTTTAAAACCAAAGAGATGTAAGGCGTAAGGGTTATTTGTAATTAAATCAATTATAAGGATGTACCGCCTAATTATAGAAATATATAATGAACTATAATGATAGTACTGGTTCATTCTGTAGGCTGGTTTTAACGTTATTGAATCTCCGAAGTGAAGTCTAAGATGGTTCAAAATTTAAAAGATGTCACTGCTTTATAACCAAAGAGATGTAAGGCGTAAGGGTTATTTGTAATTAAATCAATTATAAGGATGTACTGCCTAATTATAGAAATATATAATGAACTATATGATAGTACTGGTTCATTCTGTAGGCCGTCTCTAGGTCCAACTTCAACAATTTTGACAAAACTTGGCAAACCAGCAAACTGAAAGTAGAGATATGAAAATGGTGCACATTACAAAAAGAGCACTAGCAAGGGGAAAAACAACATTATTATCTTGCATTATTGCCCTTGAAAAATAGCTACTACCTTTACAAAATATGTGCCCTTATTGGCATGCAGCTTAGGAAATTCACTTTCACTGCTGACTGTTTTAATGATTACTATTAACTTCAATGCAACTTCATTTTAGACTATTATTTTCTTTGCTATTTACATATTACAGACATGCACACACAGTGAAAACACACAATTTTACTTTCCTTACTAGAACAACCCCCAAACCCCTGGTTGGTGGCGGCAAGGTGTGAACTTCCCATCTACTTCAGTTACTTGACATAACATGCATGCAAGTAATTCACTTTATAAGAATCCCAAAGAGTTCTAGCTTATGGGAATTTTAGTTTGCACCCATATTGAACAAAGTTACAGCCAAACATACATACCCAGAGCATTATCATTTGTGATTTCAAATTATTCTACTAAATCTGATTATCAAAATTATTTTTAACAGTTTGTAAACCACTATGCATTAAACGCCTTTTGAGACAGGGCCTTTGTCAACTTTCGGTGCCAAGGAGACAGATGCCTTTTCACAAGCCCAGCACTTTCTTTGCAAAATAATATATCAAAAAATAAAGTAACAACGTTACAAGTTAAAAATTATTTATATTATTGGAGGAAACTGAATGAATTAATACAATCTTATGGAATCAAAATGTAATCTCAACATTTATGAAAATGAGATATGCTAATTGTATAATTTATGCATGCAATATTTGTCGACACCTAAAATAAACTTGTGTTTCTTGCAGAGTTGTGGTGAATTTTTTGTTGAAGCCTAAATAAGTCCTAACAAATATTTGAATGAGATTGAATGTGAAAAACTTCACAAAATATTCCACTTTGAGTGATTATGCGGAGTGGCATATGTTTAGGACCTATATTTTTTAAGAATTTACAAAGGTCACTTTGTACAAAAATGACAAAACACTGTAATCTATCAATGGAAGCTGCCATGCAGAGATGAGAAGAAAAATGCGAGAAGCAATATGATTATCTAATAAGAAAACCAGCCAGCCAATCTCAAGGCTTGTATTATTAGGCTGATGGATCAGTCATTCGTCTTTTTGGATACTTAGTGATCTCAAGAGGGTAAATACAGTTATACTTTTACTAAATGTCACCCCCAGAAACTTCTAAAAAATGCCACCAACTGAACACACACATAGAAATATATTTAATTTAATATATAAACCCCAAAAGTCTAGCCACAGGAACTCGCCATGTTCATATTAATAAGTACACCCCTGAGAAAATATATACAAGGGCTGAGTGTCTCCTCCTTTGACACTCGTCAGCCTTTAATGGTGGCTCATCTAAGAGAAGGAAACTGCAAACCACCGCAGATTAGGTTAGTAGAAATGTGGGTTCCCAGTGCCTTATTCATGGCACTATATACATCTGCAGCAAGCAGTGCTTGTTTTTCTTTTGCGAATTCTTTTTAACATTGTTGATGTTAGTATTCTGTACTTTATCATGAATGTTACATTAATAATTTCAATTTTAAAGGGGGCCCCACAGCGTATTTTCTAAGTAAAATGCTTTCGAACAATTGTCTCTTGTAGCATGAGTTCCATACATATACAAGCCAAACTGAAATTTTTTTTCCACTTTTATATGCTTGGCAAGGTGTGCAGCCGCACAGTTTTTTTTTTTTTCCCATAGAATTTAGAAAAAATATATTTGTGCACAAGACTAAGACAGCGTAGAAAAGTAGTAACCACTTTGAGTAGTAAACCATTGTTACAAATCCATTTGTGTAATTTATTACAAGAATTGCAGTGTTAGTAAGTGTTCTTTAAATTTCTATTAAATTATTAAAATCTTTAATATTACTATCATTGACTAACATTTGTCATTATACCTATAATAGTAAGGCAATGCTTCTATAACGATTTAAGGCCTTCTAAAACTTAAAGTGGATGTGATCTTCTTTACTGAATAAGTATACGTTATTGAGAGTGGCATTCAGTGAGAATAGTAGACTTTTCCTGTATGCCTGTGAATCCTGGATGATAAAAGCTGATCTTGAAAGGAAAATAAGGCGATGGAGATGAGATGCTTCAGAAGCATTTTTGGTATCTGCTATGGAGACCATATCTCCAATGATACAGTGAAAGAAAGGGTTCGCCAGGCACTTGGGGAGTACGATGACCTACTGGTGACTGTGAAAAAAGGCAAACTACAATGGTATGGCCACGTAACAAGGAAACAAGGGCTTGCCAAAGAAATATTTCAGGGGACCACAAGAGGAGGGAGAAGAAGAGGAAGACAAAGAAAAAGATGGGAGGATAACATCAAAGAGTGGACAGGACTAACACTGGGTGATGCTGTACGTAGTGCAGAAGACAGAGACGAATGGAGGAGGATAGTTCACATGTCATCTGTGGCGCCCCAACGGTCCATGGACTAAAGGACATGATGATGAGTAGACTAAATGATATTATATTCTTATGTATTTGTTATTAACTCCCAGCTAGTTTAATAAGTATTACATATTTTTTTCCCATATATTTTAGGCCCAAAATAAATGTATTGATCATTTTAGCTCCTGGTTTGAAGCCAGTGTCTGCTCTCCAAGGCTAACAAGTCCCATCCACCCAGGATGCTTGGGATTCTTGGTTGTCGGAATATAACTAACATATAGCCTAATATTGGCCTATTTAAAAAGTTATGAACATTATAATTTAGATATAAAATATACTTTTAATTAAAATTGAAAAAAATAAATAAAAACTTGATCCCCTTCTGGGAACTGGTCACAAAATATAATAATATCGCATACGGTTTGAAAATATATTTATATAGCTCATATAAGCGTCTACTTTACCACAAGTCCCAACAGACATATCTTAAAACCAGGCCAATCCATTGGTACATTTTTGCTGCGGTGTACGCAGGCCTAGATCATTGGTTTTGCTAGGTACACCGTCTAGGTGTACGCAGGCTCTTGGTAATATTAATAATTAATAATACATAATTTAGGGCTGCTGGCTAATAATTATAATCATTTAAATTTGAATTAAATAAAGTAAGTGTAATGCGACTACTAAGCTAGACTATTTCAGAAGTATTTCAGTAAATTTCATGATTCTTTGTAGTAGTACTAATTAATAAAGTATTACTAGTATTGGTATTAAGTATTAGACAGTATTAGTTTATTTATTATAGTATTTTTAGTCATTAGTGAAATTACAGTGAGTGTTACAGTGTATTGAAGTTACGACGCTGAAATACGATTTTATACACTTACTATAACTATAATATATTTTAACTTAAATTTACAATACTGTCTACAAAAGTACTAATATGACTTACTGCAACCTGTGCGTAGCCCGATGAAATACGTTTCGCTCCCTTATTTAATAACTCCCTCCCGAGTGTCATATACACTACACTCGCCATATTGAAGGAATGTGGGTCAAAGGTCAATTAATATAAAAACTAGAAACGTACGGAGATTTATGCTTTCTTGAATTATCGAACCTGTTCAAAAGTTAAAACAAGACATGAAAACAAATTAAGTTTTGCCTAAAAGCTTTTACTGCGTATAATTATAAAGTCATCTATAATGCAAGGCGCTAGGTGCTGTGTCAGCTATCGGTAAAGCTATTTTTTTAAAAAGGTTTTTGGGGTAGAGAATAATATTTGTGTTACTAAAAGTAAAAGCGAATCGGGAAAACCAAACTCCAATTTAATTTGATATAAAATGACCATGACATTTCTTGAGAGAAAGAGTAAAATAAATGTGCACCAGGCTCTCTTTCAGCTATATCTCCGGAAGGGCACTGCCCCCAGGGAAAGCCAAGTCCCCCCCCCCCGAGCAAAAATATGACCAACAATAGACCAACTGGCACTGCTGGAGCTGCCCCCCCCCCCCCCCCCCCCCCAAAAAAAAATCTGATGTGCCCCCGACAGAAACAACGCCACCACTTCCAGAGGAAAAAAAAAATTACAGCCGTTTTCCACAGTACAGATAACAAACACATCCACAGGCAGGCGGGAATTTACCAAATGTATCCATTCTGAGGAGACTCTGTGACCTAATGTGCTACCCTTAGCTTTTCCCGCATGGGGATTTAGGGTTGATCACAGCCTTAAAGAAGGCTTTTGGTCAAGGAAATGTTGCCTAGCTCCAATGGTTTTTATACCATTTTGCCATTCATGATGGGAACTTAACAAGTTTCTTAACGCAATAAAGCCGACTCACCAATTCGTTATTGGTATCTATTGCAGGACCAAAGCAATAAGAAATGAGTAGAACGAAGTAGGGTTAAACCTGAAAAAAGGAACGCAACAAAACAACGAACGTGTCGGCAGGAAGCCTTCGTCAGCGAACAAATCAACAGAACAAACATTCTGTCCCTGACGTACAGCTGCATAGATGGCTCAGCACCGGAGTATCTCAAGGAACTGATTAATAAACATGTATCCTTGAAGAGCCTGCGGTCTTCAACACAGTACTTACTGAGTTTTCCTAGTGTGGGTGAACACAGAAAAAATTCTTACGGGGTGCGCTCTTTTGAAGCGATTGCGCCACAATTATGGAACAGTTTGCCTCAATCTTTGAGGGGAATTGTAAATGATAAAAATTATTTAAGAAACAATTTTAAAACCTTTTTGTTTCAATAGATTTTGGAGGACCAGAGCGCAGTGAGCATGCTATAGTGGCATGGATACCAGCGCGATATAAATATCAAATCAATCAATCAATCAAAAAGGTTCAGTTAAGCCAATTTCTATCAGAGTTAGACATCTTTCATTTAAATTATAAACACAATCATATGTTCACAATGCCCTAGTCACATCTTCTAAAAAAAGGTTTCTTACTTTCGTTTGACAATGAAAAACAATGGACAAGCTCACAAGTTGAACTAATGCCTATAATAGAAGCATGGGCGCCCGCTGAAAACTTTCTAGGGGGGGGGGGGGAAAAATCGAATAAATTTCCAGGGGGGGGGGGCAAATTTTTTTTTTTAAAAAATTTA